TAACTGATGCTGAGATGCACGCTTTGCCTTACGCAACCATTGCCTCGCCAAGATCTCAAAACAATGTAAAGAGTAAAGCAGAACTATGTACAAGATAAAGTTTTATTCACAGAAACGTTTATAATCCAAGGGAATTTTTTTTATAAACGGAGATTTCAAACATTACAGTGAGCATTACATTTGAGAAACCTTTTTCGCTGCGAGAAAATAGAGAAATTAACCTCCATAACTTGCAATTTACATTGTAGGTTTTTACTTTTACATTGCAGGTTTGCAGGTTTTTACATTGCATGTTTTTACATTGCAGGTTTCTCTTTAAAGTTCGAATTGTTAAGGGTAAAAGTAATTTTACGGGTTTTTTTATCAAGATAAATGTGCTGAAAAGTTACTAAACTAATAACAGATCGGTTCCCAGCAATTCTTATTTTAAATTGTGTTTTCTTTGCATTTTATAAGGTAAAAAGTGACAACATTTATACCTAAAATCCGTGAGTTTGAGGAGTCATGCATTGGAAGATTTGACATTTACCGGAGTGAAATATCAATGTTTGTGGGAACCTTTATCTCCAAGAGGAACTGTATTTTAAAAAAGTATAAGTTTTAAGCAATTATTTTCCAAATCTGTCATACTTTGCGTCTAATGGAAAAATAAATTGTAGAATAATCATATATCTGAATAGAGTTATCACAATACTAATATCCAAACGATAAACAAATATGTGTTATTAACATTATCATTGATAAAAAATAGAGTGGCCCCCGTCTCTAGAATATTGAATCATTTAGAAAAATATAAACTCTGATAATTTTGATAACTTGGATATCTGATTCTAGTTTTAAGTTTTTTTTAAAAAAAGTTTTATAAATGGTACACTACTAAGAATAAGGTCACGGCAATTTTACATATACAAAGTTGAATGAATACGATTTTTCATAAAGTGTCATTCTTTAGAAAATGCTATTGTCAAAATGGCTCGAAATTAAGAAATAGCCGATATATCCTATTCAAAATCTAAACAATTTACAAAGGTCACGTGATTTCAAGATTTCATTTGCATGTGGAGGCATAAAGGTATAAAAATTGTGTTTTCATTAGAAAACCTTTACATCCGAAATCTTAAAGATAGAAAATAATCCTAGACGTTTCCTTAAAGATCAAAGCAATGAGCAAGAAGGTATGCGCAAAACGTATAACGTCTATTTGAATAAACCTTTCTACTCGGAATAATTAAGATTGAGAAAAATTATCACAGACTTTTACTAAGATCCCAAACATTTTTACACCTTATCAATTCTACCTGGACAGGTTTAGTTACCTGTGGAATACCTGTAGGTGTCGCACCTGTCATTCTGATGAATCTGTTCACAATTTATCTGAAAGGCGCTACGTCGTAACTCACAGCTATGGAGAACAGGTGCATGAACATTTGATATGCTTCAGTATTGTACATCTCCTCACAAGGATCGTGTGTAAAAGTCTAGAAATGATTCATGTCTTTGCAGAAATCACTCCTGTCGTGATGTGTTTCTAAAGAAAACTAAATTAAATGAATATTTGTATTTGTGGAGAATACATTTCGAATGATGAACCTCACACACGGGAAATAAAAATGTTTCAAAGGCGAATTGAAATAGGTTAATTTACACGTTCTTGTATTACAAAGCTTACTCACCGAAAATAACTTAGAATTCTTCTGTTCTTCTGCACTATAAAATATTTTCTATTTTATTATCTACATTCTAACCTCTTGGCATATTCCCTGGTCTCATTATGCTTACGGGGTGTTGACGTCCCGAGATAGTACCCAATTTAAAAAAAAAATGTATTGTGGTATTTAGGGATTTGCAAAACATTGCAAATCAGTGCCGCATCTATTTTGCATCTACATTAAAGAGTCACATTTTCAGATATACTTCCTTTTTTCCTTGTACCTCTAAATGTTCTGAAAAACTTCCTTTTTTCCTTGTCCCTCTAACTTGCTTGCATTTGATGCAATCCGCATGATGGAAAATTATGCATTTTTTTCATGACATGGAGCCAACCCACAACCAAAATTATCTAACTTAACTACATACAAAATAATCAAAACCTTTTAAAAACTGTGATTTTTTTCTCCAAATTACATGCAGAAACTTCTCAAATCAGTGTTTCAAACAAGTGACCATTTAATGTTTTTCAATACTTATTTTAGCTATTGAAGTTAAACGCTTTCTGACTATCAACTCATTTGAAATGTTTTATGACTAAAACCGTTTTCTCTTTAAGGTAAATTATGTTTGATTTACAAAGACATTTTTCGAGGAAGAGGGATAGGGTGTGTGTGGTATATGTATAGAGCGATTCAATCTATGTCCCTCTTTATTTTTACACCACCTTAGACTTCAAAACAACAAAAGACATCAAAGGATTAAACTCTTCAGGGATCAAACCTGAATGCCGAATTTAAAGAAAAAATATACAACTTCTAAACTTTGAGCTGCTTAGAAAATTGATTTTGACTAAATAGGGCATTTTGGTTTGTGTGACAAAGGAAAGCGGAGAAGTAGGGTCGAACACACTATCACCTTCCAACAATAGAGGGCCTAATTAGGGAAGCTCCCCTCGATAACCTCAGGGGCGTAATTGTAGATCGGTCTAGAGGATAGAGAGACGTAGGGTGCACTACAGGGGTATAGGGTTCACCACCCCACAAACCTGTCCACGAACAGGTAACGCTACAGGTGAGTAGTTAGGGTGCGGAGCGAACACGCTGAATTGACGCTGACCAAATTAGTCATCAGAGTCATTAAAATGTTTGACGGGTACATTGCTCACCCTGATAGAGTTAAGTTTGGTTTACCCAAAGACTTAGATTGTAGTTTATATCAAAATTAAGTTTCGTGGTTTTATATTTACGTGATTAAACTCGCTGTTTAAAGATTAAAAGGTAACGAGATACAATGTAAATAAAAATGGTGTTTGTATTTTGTGGGATTTTTTTCCAATAGCACGTCCAAGTCTGATGTCTCTTGTCATACACTGTAAATTTTAACATATATATAACAACCTAGACTTCCAAAACGGCATTTATTTATAAATGTAAGTCAAGTAAGAGATTCGTAAACATTCTCGACGTTTACCTATGAATATGACAAATAAGTTTATAAAGTTGTGTCAAATGAAACCTGTACAAATTTCAGATAAAATTTGAAACATACTTTTATCTATTTATATTCAGTTATGATGATTGTTTTATGGTCGAACTAACTATATCCATTAAGCATACAATGCTTCATAGGAACACTTAATGTCTCAAGTAAATGTCTCGTTATTCGGGCAATGTTAGTGCTCACCCCAGCTTTAGTTCTAAGCAGGTGTAATGATGTATGCCTTGCCTCCTTTTGAACTCCACTTCAAACTAAAGAAACTATTCCGGGGACTTTGAATGTGGAACGCTAAAAATTGTTTACAAATAGTTTCTTTATGAATATCTATCCATCATGAATCCCAAACGAATATTTCTCAAAAGATACATACACTAAACATATGTGGGACTTCAGCTTTGCTTTTAAAACACGTTGAATTAAGGGAGTGTGATCTTCGCTGAAAGCATTCAGGAAAATTCACGAATTTTTGTTCAAATAATTCTTAAAATAGCTCAAGAATTACTTGGGACGAAACTTCAGACATAAAAATATAAGAATTCCATGTAAAAATGTAATTTAATGTTATAGACGTACAATATCGACACTTTAAGATGTGTTGAAGTTCCCACTCAGTTTGCGTGAGGTACATTTTGGTATAATATTCACGCCAAGTCCTCAGACCGGAGAGACGAAGCGTGTTTAAGATATTACTTCTTTGCCGACATGACATTCTTGTTATTAAATACGTGGGTTTTCGTAAATAAAATCTGCAGGTTCCGTTTACTTTTATGAAAAGAAATCGGTAGCTGTCCAATCTGTCCAACCGTATATTTATTTTTTAACAATATGTTATTTATTTCGATCTGGTTTAAAACAAGCGAATAAATGTTTTTATTTCGCATTTCTACCGAATATAGGAGCTATGTTTTAGATAACAAAACGTGTGACCTAATTGTCAAACTCAGGCAAAACATTCATATGGGAAAAAAACAGAATGTTACATTATTATAAACAATCAAGCTTAAATAGATTTCTTAAGTCTAATATTTACGCTATGAAATATTTGGATTTAAGTGTATTGCCATATGCGAACCTTATGCAAATCTTGTTGTTTAAATTAATATTTTAGGAAACAAGTTAATGTAGATTATGTTCCGGAATGCAATTATCATCAATCTATGTAGAATTGATATAAATTGAATAGAAAGTCCATCAAAAATAATTATCAGAAAACGTTGCTAAAGATTGCTAATGCTGAATGGGAAATGAAGATTGCAAACAATAATGCTAAATTGATACATATATTTGCAAACTATTCGACGAACAGAAAAGACAAACCAGTTGAGAAATACTAAAACACCTACATGTATATGAGAAAATTAAGTGTTTACGCCACTTAACAGAAATTATACACTCGACAAATCACTCCCAAAACAAGCATAAGGCTACGATACTGGGCCCTCTATTTACGTTTATATAAATAGTCCTAGTGGAATGGTGTAGCCGGACACTTCAGGCTCCCATATCCACTGAAGAGCAGTTTAAGTAGTTCTTGAACGTGGAGAGTGTTTTCCATCAAATAAGTCTCGTACACACTCTCGAGAGAGCCTGGGTGGAACAAAACTACATAAAATTGCCGCGTTATCATCCGTATATCTCTATCGCCCACTTATGGAGGGACATTCAATACTACATTTTAAAGATTCTGTATTTGTTTATAATTTGTCTGCGTTTGTTTACAATATTTCACAGCTAAAAAAGAATCGGTACCGGTTTCTCTGACAGTATGGTGTTGTAGTCCTTTAATGTAAATATATTTATCTTTGTTTGGAGTAAACAAAAACATAAACAAAAACAAAACATTCTGTACTTACCCCGATGACAGAGGCTGCCATGTTGTTTCACTAGTGAGTACTTTCGTTGAGTACACACCTTCCCACTCAAGCTGTCTTGTAACACGCGGCGAGAGTGTCCTACAACCAACCTAGGTATATATTAAATTCGCCCCGATCCGCCTCCGATCGTCCCGGCTATTGTCCCGTTTATTAGTCTAACCATCCTATCACCGGCACGCTTCAAGCTGCGTGCAATGATTGACTTCTTAAGGCGATGGGGCAACGCCCCTCCTCCCGATAACCTTTGATTGCGCTAATACGAACCGGCTGTTAGTTTGTGCATAGTGAGGAGAGGTCTACATTAAGATGAAAACTTAGACTTTATTTGTGCATAAAATGACGCAAAATTTGTTTAATTGGTTGGCAGTCTTGTAGGCAATTCGTCAGTAGTACATAACTATTGAGTTGTAAGATGTTGCATTTAGCGTTATTATCTCAACAACTTTTTGGAAATTTTACATTTATTTAAATTTAAAAAACGTAATTATTTACATAAATATTAACACATGTGTTAGTTTATATTTGTTCATCCACTTCAATAAAATGAAGTTCTGGCGAAAATTGATACTTAAGGAAATTTTTCTTTTAGTGTACAAATAATGGAAACATATAGTACGCCGTTATATACTGTTTGTATTAAATAAAATGTTATAAACAGACGGAAGACAAAACACAAGTTTCTCTTTCATGTGGATAACTACCGTAATACCGCTAATTAATTCCCCTCGCTCACAACATATTCCAGATGAATTGAGTTACCCGGCAGAAGTAAATGGAAGGAACATTATGCAAGTTTCTTTTATGTTTAAACATCTGCGTAATCGTCGAATTAGGCCTGGAACCTAGAAATGTAGCGGCCCTGTGGTAACGCTGATCAGTGAGTCCCTCCCCCCAAATAGTTCCCATCCTCTATTCAAACACCCCCTGAAATGATCAAGATTATTAAATAAAATTATTTTACTTTTTATGATAGCTACAAATTCTTTCACATAGCTTCAAACTGTGACTATTTGTTTTACTTTTAACCAATTTTGAGCTATAAAACATATTTAACAATCGTCTGTTTACACTCCGTTCGTACGATTCTAATTTAATTTTTTTTCTTGTTTGTTAAGTAAAAGTAGCGACATATTTCTCTAATGAAGAGAAGTGCGTCTGTATTTCACTTGTTTTATGTTTATGTGAGGGAAAGTTCCAATTTTTGTGTGTGCCACAATGACTTTTTCACATGTTCACACATAAATTCTAGGTTATTATCTATTCACATTAAAGTTAAACATGTTTAAACTGTTAAGTTTATTTTCTATGATATGGAAAGTTTTAGAGATGTTAAAATATATTTAAAAGTGTATTATAATTATGTAAGCTATCGCCTTACTTTCTATACACTGTAAAGCTTACTATCTGTAAAGTTCACAATCTGTAAAGTTTATCATCTGTAAAGTTCACTATATGTAAAGTTTATTAACTGTTAATCTAACAACATGTAAAGTTTACTATCTCTCTGTAAAGTTTATTATCTGTAGTGTTTACTATCTGTTAAGTTTGCTATCTGTAAAGTTTACTTTCTGTAAAGTTTACTATCTGTAAAGTTCACTATCTGTAAAGTTTCCTTTCTGTAGGGTTTCCTTTCTGTAAAAAATCCTATTTGTTAAGTTTACTATCTGTAAAGTTCAATATCTATTAGGTTTACTTTCTATAAAGTTTACTATTTGTTAAGTTACTTTCTGTTAAGTTTAGTATCCGTAAAGTTCACTATCTGTAAATATTACTATCTGTAGTGTTAACTATCTGTTAAGTTTACTATCTGTAACGTTTACTTTCTGTAAAGTTTGCTATTTTTTACGTTTACTTTCTGTTAAGTTTACTATCCTTAAATTTTACTATCTGTAAAGTCTACTTTTTGTAAAGTTTACTATCTTTAAAGTTAATTTTCTGTAAAGTTTCCTTTTTATTAAGTTTACAGTCAGTAAAGTTGTTCATCTGTAAAGTTTACTTTTTTTATTAAGTTAACTATCTGTAAAGTTTACTTTTTGTAAAGTTTACTTTCTGTTAAGTTTACTATTTATTCACTGTAACTGTAAGTGTATTGTCTGTAAAGTATATTATTCATAAATCCTATAGGTTCTCAGATGTAACTTTAGATTGTTAAGTAGACTATCTATAAACTGTAAGGTTATCATAAAACATAAATATACAGCATTTGATATAGCGCCCTATCTAGCTTACATAAGCCACTCTAAAGCGCTTTACAGCACATATATATATATAATTAATACAATTACCATACAGATTAATCGATACAATTCTGAGGAATTCACAGGAGCTGCCTTATCATGCGCTAACTACTAGTCCTATGCCACCTTGCTAATATCTCCCTATGTGTGTATGCCTGCGTATTTGCTGGAGATGTATTATCTATAAACTAAGTTTATGAACTATCAAGTTTATTATATATCAACTGAAGTTCATTATCTATACACTGATAAGTTTTTATGCATAAACTGTAAGTATGCTGCTTGTAAAATGTATAAACTGTAAGTATGCTGCCTGTAAAATGTATACACTGTAAGTATGCTGCCTGTAAAATGTATAAACTATAAGTATGCTGCCTGTAAAATGTATAAACTGTAAGTATGCTGCCTGTAAAATGTATAAAATGTTAGTATGCTGCCTGTAACATGTATACACTGTAAGTATGCTGCCTGTTAAATGTATAAACTGTAAAGCTTGAAAGATCAAACTATCAATTGTCAGGTTAACTATCCATCAACCTTATAGTTTATTATCTATAAACCAAATTAATAAACTGTAAAATGTATTAACTATATACTGTAAAGTTTAACATAAATAAATACTTTAATATTTTGATGGTCATTTTTGTGTATTGTTTACAAGTCGAGTGCATTATTGCCTTCGGTTAGTATATTAAAACATTATGCATTGACCTCAACAAAAGTCTATAGATGTATAACAACAATTATCAGAGAAGGTATCCACGACCAGAAAGAAAGTGTGCAGGCATCTAATTTCGAAATGATTGACCGAGTTAGAATATTGTTTGTCAAGGCCAGCTGTTTTCGCTATAGAAATATAGCAAAATCAAGAAACTTATAATATATGTGCAGGATAGGGAATCCGATGGGGTTGAGAAAATGGGGTATATTGTACACGTGAAAGAGTCTTTTATTTACATCCAATCCTCCACGTGAGACACTAACATATTATACAATTACCGCATTTTACATAAATTTAATCATTTCACACAAACGAAATGAGGCATGCGCACTAAAAATAATCCCATCAATGGATAGATATAAACAGAGCGCCTGTCATCTATATGGTTAATAAAATTAATAGACTCATAGCAAATCAATTTTTGAGATTGAATATCTTAAAAATATATAAAAATTGTTTTATATACAAATGGTTATGAGAGAGAAATTTGCCAAGAGCATTAACTTATCGGTTGTTTCAATATCAGGAGGAAATACCTTTATAGAATAGTTTTCTTTTCCTTTTTAAATACAGAAATAATAATGATTGGAAATATGCCAATCAATAAGTTCATTCGGAAGTTTATCATTCAATTATCAGGAATAAGATGTTTAATGTTTAATACCCAGATATTTGGCGAAGAGTTATTCGGATATAATTTCCTACAGGTTTTAATAAATGATCTCTCGTTTGTTTCCTGTTCCCTTTCCTCCTCTTAGTTTAAACAATGTTTTTTTCCGTAATTTCAGTAATAATCGTAAAATACATGTTCTATAAGGGCTCTAACAGCGAGCTTATATTTTATGAAAATAAAAGAAGTTCCTTCTCCCTTATCTTCAGCCGGTGTACTAATCTATCAGGGGTAGCACAGGAGAAAAAGTAGGTCGGCTATTTGATACAAAGTCAGTACCAAGTTGAATAATACAAATATAATTATAACGGATACATTCAAAGTTCTGAACGCTCAAAGTCATAGTTCCTTATTTTTTACGCATCAAATCATACCAATATGATAGTATAACTGAAATACGACAAACAAAAAGTTGGATTGATCATAAAAATGTAGGTAAAATTATTACTGCACCAAACTTAACACACAAGTGGATGAGAAAAATTGTAATGATCATCAAAACACAGGATTTTAATCTCCATATCTACTACAAGTTGTCACTTACACATGAATACAAGAAGAAACATATACACAAAGAAAATACATATTAAATACAATAACATGCACAGTTACATACACAGTAACATACACAATACACACAGTAACATACACAATACACACAGTAACATACACAATACACACAGTAGCATACACAATACACAAAGTAACATACACAATGCACACAGTAACATACACAATATACACAGTAACATACACAATATACACAGTAACATACACTATACACACAGTAATACACACAGTAACACACTCAATACACACAGTACCATACACAATAAACACGGGAACATACAAAATACACACAGTTACATACACACAATACAAAGTAATATACACAATACGCATAGTAACATACACAATACACACAGTAACATACACAATACACAGTAACATACACAATACACACATAATACACACAGTAACACACACAATACACAGTAACATACACAATACACACAGTAATATACATACAATACACACAGTATCATACACAATACACACAGTTACATACACAATACACACAGTAACACACACAATACACATTACAAAACCAATACACACAGTTACATACACAATACACACAGTAACACACACAATACACAGTAACATACACAATACACACAGTCATATACATACAATACACACAGTATCATACACAATACACACAGTTACATACACGATACACACAGTAACATACACAGTTACATACACAATACACATTTACATACACAGTAACTTACACAGTTACATACACAGTTACATACACAATACCCACAGTTACATACACAGTTACATACATAATACCCAGAGTTACATACACAATACACACATAATACACACAGTAACATCCACAATACACACAGTAACACAATACACACAGTAATATCCACAATACACACAG